AGTGGTCATCAATGTTTGCTGTTAGTGTAAGGCAGGGCTAAAGGATCAGACAGCAACTCAGAAGCATCTTATTGACACTGAGAATGAGCAACGGGGAGGGGGCAGATCTGGATGGGTTTTCGTGTTTGTTTTGGCTCTGGCAGCTTCCACGTATGCAGCCCTGGGAATCCTAAAGAAAACGTGTCCTGTTCCCAGCTCTGCACTGGCCCCATTGTGTTCCACTTCCCTTGCTGGCGAAAGTGAAAACGAAACCGCCACAAACACTCCATTGTTAGGTATGAAATATGCATTGGCAACTGGAAGTTTTAACAAAACAGACCTGGTTGTGTCAAGGCAAGATGTCGAGAAGGGAGGGAGCTACAGGAACCTTTCCTGCTCTAGGGGCGTGTCCTGAACTTTTTCTGCCAGTGCTGAGGCAACAGGACTTTGGGGTTTTTCCATGACACTCATGTTACCCTCTTGGTTTGATCCATTCAGTATGCACTGGCAGCCTCTGCAGGCTTCTGTGGGGGCAACTCAGTTGCAGAGTCGAGGCACAAGCTCTGCCAGGTCTCCATAGGAAATAATACAGGATGCACGGAAAAGAAACCAAAATAAAGAAGGAAATACAGGATGCACGGAGAAGAAACCAAAATAAAGAAGGAAATACAGCATGCGCGGAGAAGAAACCAAAATAAAGAACTTGTTTCCTTGTGTAAAAGACGACACTGTTGTTCAACCTCTGGTCCTACTTCACTTTGTCCCTTGAGCGTGCCAACTCGGTGTCCTGCAATGAACAGATGATTTGATGCATACACACCTCCAAAGGACCTGCATCCAGACAGCTTCTGGAAGGAGGATGTTGCTGACCCTTGTGAACACCCCACATTCTAGCACAGGTGAATGGTGTAGACCTCTCAGACTCCAGCGTGGGAAAACCCACAGAACTCTAACCTACTCCTCATTGAATTTTCCTCAGTTTCTTGTTCTTTTTTGGTTTTGGTTTCGAGACAGGGTTTCTCTGTGTTAATAGTCCTAGCTGTCCTGGAACTAGCTTTGTAGACCAGGCTGCTCTCAAACTCATAGAGATCCATCTGTCTCTGCCTCCAGAGTGCTAGGATTAAAGGCATGGGCCATCAGGACCCCTCCTTTCCTCGTTCCCTAATGATAAATTCCCTTGTGTGACTGCTATATTCAGATTTGTTTCCCAATTTAAAACACACACACACACACAGAGAGAGAGAGAAAGAGAGAGAGAGAGAGAGAGAGAGAGAGAGAGAGAGAGAGAGAAGCGCTGGCCTGAGAAAGTATAAACAGTTCAAAAGGTGGTCAGACTCACAGTATTAAGTAAATGGTCTTAAGTAATACAATATTTAGACTCATATTACTGCCATTAAAAATCCCCAAGTGTTTTTCTTTTCCTTGTATTTTCTATGTCTCTCTAACAGCCTTACTAGGTTTATTATTGTCTTTGGTGATTTCTATGTGGGTAAAAAGTTTTGAGGCTATTAACATCTTTAATACTGAAGATAAGGATGGATACAGAAAAAGAGGTTTGGAGGAAGATTACACGTTAAAACGTTGCAAAGTTTTTACAAAGACCTCAAGAATACAAGCTATTGTTAATGACACGCAAAAAAAATTCATGCATGACTTTATGTATAAACATAGACAGGTGCTGGAAGGCCTCACCCTCCCTGTGGAGTGGGTGGGGAATGGGATGGGAGGGAGGAGTCAGGGAGAGCATGGGAGGATGGGAGAGAGAGGGAACTTAGATTGGTATGTAAAATAAGGATTAAAAACATTGACAGGTGAAGAAAATAATAAAAACTGCCTAATGATTCTCCTATTCTTTTACTTAGAAGATGTTAACTATGTTTGAAGATACAAAACCTCTTTTAAAGCTTGCTAACATCAAAACACAATGAGTTAACACAATAATGTCCTTACATAAGTAGAAGTACAATAATCACACATTCCTGTATCACCCTACGTTTTCTGTTCAGGATAGAACTTTGATTCATCCAGGTGATTAAGTCAGCAAAGAGGATGACTGTAAATTTAAGATCTCAGGTATCTGTGGACCCCAGTTCAATCTGTCTTTTAGTCTTAACACAGCAAACAATGGCAAGTAACTTTCATTCTTTTGCACAGAAATTCTTGCCAGTGACTCAGTCAACACTCAACACCTTGGCACAAAATGAACTTGGGCATTCGAAGGTTTTACTAAGCCCTTCAGTGTAGTACTAGAGGGGAGAGATGAGAGATACTGAAATCATTAACATATAAGCAATTCTTCTATGTTTCTTATGACTCAAAACGCATGCATCTACATGCTGGCATTTATTAACTTATTCATTAAGAAGTATTTCATAAATGCCCATGAAAACATCCAGGTGGAACAAGAGTGAGTATTTCTCTTTAAATAACTCACTTTTGTAAATAGGAGCCCCAAATAACTATCAAAGGGGCAGAAAATACGAAAGCTATTTCCTCAGGGGCTGGTCAAAGGCTCAGGGGTTAGTGGTGATTGCTGAGCAATCAGAATGACTGGCGTTTGGACCCCCCAGTACCCACATAAAACAATCCAGGTGTCCCACAAATAACAGCTCTGAGGGATCTGACTCCCTCTTTAGGCTGCCTTGTGCATGCAGGTTTTAAAAAGAGTGTTATGCTGCTAACACTAAGGAAAGGACAGCCGGTTTCTGCGGGGGGGGGGGGGGGGGTCTAAGATGTGTGAATGAGCCTTGTAAATAAGCTACACATTCACAGTTTTCACAGCAGTTAGGATAGTGTTCTCAGGCTAGGAAACTTGCAAATCCTTTGCCACTCTGCACAGTAGGTGGCTTTCCTTTTCCCTCTGTGACATAACCTATTGTAAAATGGGTATTTCTAGGCAGTAGAATGCAGCCTATTAAAAAAAATACTAAAAACAGCATACCAATCAGTTTGAAAGACAGCGATTCTATTTTTATGTGTATGTGAAATCAAAGCATCGTTTTATTATGTGTATTTTTGTATTTTTCCCTGAAAGCAGAAAAAATACTAACAGTGGGAAATTTTTAAAATGCAGCACCCTAATTAAAAAAAATACCTGTTAATACTGACATTAAATTCCAAATATCATTCTTTAGAACGATTTCATTCCCAGTTGCTAACACTTTTTATTATGTCACTATAGTGAATACAGAATAGACAATACAAAATAGATATCAGATAATCATAGATCTATATTTGCTATTACCCTTTTTCTCGGGATATGAAATAATTAGTCTGTATTTTCCTGTTTAGACATACCAACTTTCAGCAAGAATGGGTGGTGTCAACTGATGCTAGTTACATGGTGAGTTACCATTCTTCATATTCAACAACAAAATCAAAGCCCAGCTGGGTTTTCTCTCCTTATTTACAGTTCTTAGGGCCAGCTGAGGGGGATTAAGGTGAAGTGTCCTGCTGGCTTGGCTCATCCTTCCCCCCAATGAATGTGCCCAAGGACTAGTTCCTTCATCTGCTCCCCAAGGGTTCCCTCAATCACAAAGCCTATTCAAGCTTCTCCCCAGGGCCCCCCAAAAACAAGGAGAGTAATTTCCTAAGGAAGCCAAAGCCTACCTCACCCTTCCCACTGGGGAAGCACACAGACGCAGCCCTTTCTGGTGTCGGTACAGAAAGGCTTGCTTCCCTCCACCCAATGCTGAGGCCTGTCCTTTAAGTAACTGCTTGGGTCTTCTCTAAGGCATTTGCAAACACAGGGCGGCCAACACAGGGCGAAGAGGCAACAGGTAGGGTCTCTTCCCAGACAGAGTATAATGTATTCAAAGACTGCTCCAGAGAAACCCCGATGCCTTGGGGAAGGATCCAGGGCTGGGAATGGAAGGGGGCTTACAGACTGTGGGGTTTGTGTTTGGTGGAGTGGGGAAAAGAGAAGGAAGTAGAAACCTTTCTCTAGTGGGTGGCTCTTCCTGGCCAAGTTACTTCTCTCCAGGGTTTGCACTTGTGGGCTTCACATTGCATGGGATGCTGCAGGAACTCAGGGAGGTGGTTGTTGGTTGTTCTGTCTGGAATATCAGCCATCAGGAGCAAAAGGAGCTGCCTCAGTCCCCTCACAATAATGGCCAGCAATGCCACGTTACATTTCTCAAGGACGGCACCAACCAGACCAGGTTCTGGTTTCAGAGCCTCTTGGAGGCGAGGCTGAAGATAGGCTCTTTGTCCAGAGTTTTAATTCAATGTGTCCGAGGGCAGCACTAATACACCTTTATTCTCTGCCTATCTCCAGCCCTGCTAGTAACACAATGAAGGAACACTGCCTAGCTCTTTCTATCTACTCATGCTAAACAGGGTTTTCAAAGGAAAGGGTTATTAGTACTAACTACTGGGGTGCTCTTCTTAGAGCCTGGATGTAGAATTCAAAAAGATGAGCTATACAGAGGAACAGAGCTAACTAAAGGAAGGATTGTTATGGCCCCAAAGCTTAAGTCCTTTGCCAAAACAAGGCCCTGGGTTCTCTTGACTCTGGCCCACATGAAGCCTGCACCAGGCTGGGTAGGGCTACTCATACATCATTCAGAGGTCACTCAAGTTCACTGTCAACTTATTTTCGCTCTTTCCTGGTGGCATCACAGCTTCAGAGAACTGCTTGATCCTACATGGGCAGGCAGTGTGGCTGTTTCTCAAGCCAGCTGACTTTCCTCCTACCTTCTCTACCCAGACCCCATGCCACGTGCATCACTATCTATGCAAAGATAGTGATGTATGTATGTAAATCCATGTAAATCTATGTAACACAAGTTACAGCAAAAAGCATTTAGAAACTTGTAACTGACTCCTTTCAAGTGGCTGAGATGCCAACAGGCTATTTCCGCAACAAACCCAGCCAGACTGTACCCGCAGTAGGCAAGGCACTTTCCCTTTACTGACTGCTAACAACTGTAAAGACATCCCATTCACAGACAGTAAGGGGGGCGCTTTGCCATTTAAAACAGGGAAACTAAGTTTAAGGAATGGGCAGTGCCCTTACTCACCACTGAGGTAAGGGCCATCTGAAAACTATAGATGCGGGCAAGGCCAAAGTCAGCCAGTTTGATTTGCCCACTGCTGGTCACCAGGATGTTCTGTGGTTTTAGGTCACGATGCACTACTCGGTGAGAATGAAGAAAGTCCAGACCTCGAAGAAGTTGAAACATCATGTCCTAAAGGAAATAACAGACAGACAAAAGTCAATAGATGCTCCATGCAGTTCAAGAGCTGTAACAGACACTGAATTCCCAGCAGACACGTGAGACGACTCTTCACACGCCCAGTACTCTTCACACTTCCAGAACACAGTAAAATACTGAACTTCCAACTTGTATTTCATTAGTGAAAGAGTAGCTTAAAAATAGTTTTCTATAGTACAAGAAACATTCTGGAAGGCACTGCTGGTTAATGCTAGGGAGAGGTCATAGAAAGTGAACTAAGAAGAATTCATTTTTACTTCATATGCTTTTATTTATTAAGCTATTTCAACAGTCAATATATGGCAAAAACGCTTATTATTTTCAAAATAGTTATTTTCATAGTGCTTATTCCTAAACTGTCACTATGTGTCAAGCATGTTTCTACGTTTTTTTCTGTTTAGCAACCCAATTTGTCTAACCCACAACACTGAAGTGAATCACCATATTTCATAGGTCAAGATTGTTGCTGTGATAAACCTGCTCATGTGATTGGGAATGATTTCTAGGCAGCTGTAGGCTAGAGAAGTCCTAGACTGCTGAAAGCAAAACTTACTAGAACATTCCAGTGGGAGTGTGTAAGGCCAGAATGCCAACAGCAATGTACACTGTAATCAAGAGCTTTCAGATGGAATAATAAATCTACCAGGAATTGAACTACAGATCATTGACAAAATAAATAAATATGACTGAGTTCTGTTGTACCCCCAATAGCCAAGCAAGGCTAAATTCAAATCTAGTGGGATTGTCTGGCAGAAAATATTTTGACAGCAGAGCATCCAGGCTATAGCATGGTCCCTGCTCACTCCATTTAGTTAGGTTTAGAGCACGAATTCAAAACCAAAAATGGAACAGAACAATGAAAAAAAAAATCTGTGAAAATAAGAGAACAGAGTGCCTTTAGACCTGTGGCCTGGGCTGAGGGTACAAATGAGGAGAAAGCAATCATGCTTGTTAACGAGATTAACTGGTGCCAAGAAAGGGAACCCACAGATTTTCCATGAGACAGTAAGAAAGGTGCTTTGCCTGAGTGATCGCGCTCGGAGAGTACACATTTGGATAGGGCTGCACAGGGAAACGCGTCCTCTAGATTGATGTGCAGGTGCTTGCAGGCCACTGCATCCATGCTCCTAGAGGGCTATGAGACATCTCAAGCTGGCATCAGAACCTGTCACCCACGTAGCACTGTTTCCAGCAAGCAGAATGTAATAGTTACGAGGTAATGGAAACTCACCCCAAGGTTCCAGAAAAAAGTCAATGTGTAGGAGGGCTGAAATAACTGGAGAGAAGATCTAAGACGCTGACACTGTGAAGCTGTTAAGTGAGAAACCGACGTTTTAATGGAGACTGCAGGATGTAGGAGATGCCGAGAATGTGGGCATTTGATGAGGAAGGCTGGAGAAATTGAGTGAGCCAGCCTGCTACACTCAAGAGGCTGGAGAGCAAGGGTTACTCGAGGTCATGGGAGCTCCGATGATGCCATCAAAGGCCAATAGGGTGGGAGTGGACCTTTCTGCCCATCAGTTTCTGTCCTTTGGTCTACACTTTCCTTGCTACCCTCCTGCTCTTCCCTTCTGGAAGGTGAGTATCTACTCCATGATACTGGACACTGTAAGAATGTAATTTGTTTTCTGATGTTACAGGGGATCAGTTAAGACTACTCTGAGTCTCAGGAGGCTGGATTTTTGAACAGTGTCTCAATTATTACAACGGGGGATTCTTGAAGCTAGACTGAGTAAAGTTTGTGTGAATTATAAAGTAAGTGGTCATGAGCCTTTGAGGGCAAGGGATGGAGCGCTGTGGTCTGAACATGAAATGTTCCTCACAGGTTCAGTGTGTTTGAACACCAGGTTCCCCACTGATAGCCCCATAGCATGGGGGGGGGAGGGTGGTTGGAAGGTGGGATAGGGAGCTGTGGAGCCTTTGGGAGGTAGGGCTAGCTAGTTGGGTTAGCCAAGACAAATGCCTTGAGAAGAGCTGGCCTACTTCTGGCTTGAGTTCTCTGCTTCTTGGTGCTGTTTTGGTACCTATAGCAGGGGTCAAGTTCTTGGTTTAAGGCTGATGTGACCTGCTAAAATCATATCCACACATGGATGAAGTAGTATGGATCTACACCGCCTTGCTCACTTTCAGTCCATGTTAATGACATCTAGAGATGATTGCTCTATGTTAATTCCCTACTCCAAGTTGGGAGTGATGGTGCTGCCTTTAGTCCCAGCGCTCTGGAGGCAGAAGCAGATGATCTGAGTCTGAAGCCAGCCTGGTCTACAGAGCGAGGTCCAGCATAGCCCAGGCTATACAGAGAAACCCTGTCTGGGGGAGGGAAGGTAGTGGAAGACACTACAAACACAGGCAACAAATGAAGACACTGCTCCTACTCCACAGAACAATGGGAATGAACGAACTACAGCATCGTTCAGTTAAAACTCCAGTCACAGAACTAATTTTATAAAGAAGTTAAAGGGTTGTCTATGTGCTTCATCTCATCTCACTTCACTGCAGTGGTTCTCAAATGACAGGTCGAGAGACACCTGGGGGAGGTGTAGATGACCTTTGCACAGGGGTCACAAATCAGATGCACTGTATCAGATATCTATACTAGGATTCATAACTGTGGCAAATTTGGAAATATTTTTATGTCTGGGGGTCACCACAACATGAGGAACTCTATTAAAGGGTCACAGCATTAGGGAGGTTGAGAACCACTGTTTTACAGACATACTTTCAGTCAACTCAAGATGATAATCTAATTTAACCTGTCCTACAGAAGTCCCAAATCCCCCACAGGAATCCATGTGGTCATGCAGTGAAGTCAGAGGCCAATGAACCTTGGGGGGGGGGGGTGTGGGAGCTCCCTGCTTGGCTCTTCAAGGTAAATACACCTTGAGACTCCCTGTTACTCATCAAGCAGAGTTTGGGTACAAACAGCCTGACCGTCAACTAGTTATTCTTGTGGTGGGCTGTCATGGGCCTTACTCTTTCTTCTAAGCCACGTGACAGGAAGTGCTTCCACAGGACACTAGGGTGGAGAGTCTGGCTCTGGGTGACAGCGACTTAGAATGAAGTCAGCCACTGGCCACTCCTTCAAAGACTCCAGACCTCAGTCTGAATACCTGGAATCTCTAAGTCTTGTAAATCAAATGTTTCGTTCAGGAGTTCTAGAGGCTGTCTCTGCTTATTTCTTTAAATAAAAATAAAAATCTCCCTGAAAGTTTTAATTGGAAAAGGCTTTATACAGAACCCTACTTTCCAACCACAGATGGCACAGGTTAACTTCCTAATGGTACTGAAATACCTAACACAATCTCGGAAATGGCAGCTTTAAAATGAGTAATTCTGGTGACACACACACCTACACATACCGTACATACATCCACACACTATACATACATCAATACCATACATACATAATACACTATACACACACCGTGCATACATATACACAATGTACATACACCCATACCATATACAAATACACCCCCCCCCACACACACACATATATATTTATCTTTGGGTTATTTACGTTCTCAAAGTTAACCTGTAAGAATATACAAACATTTATTCCAAAATTAAGAGGACACAATTTATAGACAGTGCTACTTATTTTTCACCTTATTATGTACAAGCCATGTTTTTTAAAATTAGTATAACATTTGTTTTATTTGGAAATTTCACATAATGCACCTCAATCACATTCGCTTCCCAGTTGTCCCAGGGCCACCCCCACTCTTGTCACCTCCCCCAAAACAAAAGGAAGAAAGAAATACCACGTCTAATCTGTGTTGTCCACATACTCACGGGAGCATGGTCAAATTCCCAGTGACCAGCCCCGTAAAGAAAACTCAGTCCTTCCCCACCCTACCCCTCAGAAGCCATCAACTGTGAAGAGCTACCCTTCAGCGTCATCAACTGTGAAGAGCTACACAGCATCCCGTCACAATTTTTAAGAGTTTTCTTCCATGGTTCCTCTATGTCTAGACTGTTTCTTTTTGCAAGAAGGTAAGGTAGAAGCTGTCTATGCCTTCCATTCTCAACTGTTGAGTGCAGCCATCGATGCCACTGCAAAAGACTCTTTCTTGCCCTTTATACTCAGCAGCATGCATGCACCATGCACTTCCACATGGTTTTTGATCACAGCATGGGCTACAGATGTCAATACAGCTTCAGCTAGCAGCACAGATCACGGACATTCCCATGGCCTTTGGTGCTAACTTGTGTCGTGGACACGAACACGGCCCCTGGAGGAAGCCATGTTCAAGACGTTATTAAAGTTTCTTCAGACCTGGATGCCACGACACCTGTCTGTAATCTGAACACTCAGGACCTGGAGCTTGAGGCCAGTGTGCCTAACACAGCAAGACATTTTAACTGTATGTTCAGTAGTAAACCATTTACATTACTGGAGGGCCAATCTCTAGAACTCTTTTCATCTTGCAAAACTTGGAACTCTATACTACTCAACCACAATTGTTGCTTTCCTCTCCTCTCAGCCTTGACAGCTACCTTGCCTCTGATTTTACTCTAGAAACTCATGTGGAATCATTCTGTTATCTTTTTGGGCATGGCTCATTTTTACCTCAAATAGATCTCCATGTTGGGCTATGTATCAGCGTTTCTTTTTAGAGGCTGTTTAGTACATAAACTTCCCACCCTTTCATCCATTGATGGACACAGAATACCTCTACTTGTTGGCTTCTGTAAAATAGGATACTTTGAACATAGATTTGCAATTATTTTTACAACTTCTGCTTTCAATTCTTTTGGATATGAGATTGCTAGATCTACTCCTAGGACCCGTAAAATCTCACGTCTTCCACAAACAGTGTAACATTGTTAACTACAGGACTAAATAGAGAATACCAAAGCCATGTTTGTGGTCCTGTTAAGTGAATCAGGTGGGTTCACCCACCTCCTGCAGATTGTGCCCACTTGCTTTCTGGGGAAAGCTGTGCAGGGTCACTACTCCAAGCTTACAC